ACAACACACATTAAAATTAAATTTTAGCTAAATTACCAACAGAAATAGAATCACTAAAAGAGAATTACTTAAGATATCTCACAGATTAAGAAAAATTAATTTTTTGATATACAGAGTAATGGACTTTTTAAAATATGACTTACTACTAGTAGTAGCTATAATTAAAATTTGGCCCAAGTGGGACCTCACATTGTAGGGATTTTAGTGTCCCGGAGGTTTGGGAAAAAATTTAAAAGATAAATAGATGGGATGAAGTTACGTATTTTGAAAATTTTGTTTAAAAGCAGTGTAAAGGGGTTTAGTTACAGCACTCTGTGATACAAGACCACACCCTGATGCACTTCCCCCTATCCATTTTTAAAAACCACAAGTAGTGTAGCACGGTGGTTTAGCAGCATTGGTGGTGTTACAGTAGTGTAGAGGGTGGTGGTGGTGGTGGGGTGTCAGAGCAGTGGAGTGAATGCTTTCTCCGTCATTTCACATCACTACCCTAATTTTTAATGTGTTTATTTTTGGAGTCTCCTACCCTTTTTAGGTTGGGTATGTGCTAAAAAAAAAAGGTACACGAATACACTTGTTCCCAACTTAGACCATTGAATAAACCTTTAGAGAGAAACAAGAGAACAAAAGGGCATATCAACGTGGGTCCGCAGGGGCCCACAAGAGTCATATCACACAGTGGGCCTGCAGGTAACCCACTAAGAGTCATATACAAGTGGGGGCCTGCAGGTAAACCCCCTAAAAACATATACACAGTGGGGGCCCCGCAGGTAACCCCCTAAGGTCATATCACACAGTGGCCGCGGTAACCCCTAAGAGTCTTCACACGGGGTCCTGCATAAAAACCCCTAAGGTCTATCACACAGTGGGCCTGAGGTAACCCCCTAAGAGTCATATCACACAGTGGGTCCTGCAGGGAAACCCCCTAAAAGTCAATACCTGGGTTTCCCGGGTAAACTAAGAGTCATATCCACGTGGGTCCCGCAGGGAACCCCAAGAGTCAATCACACAGGGGTCCTGCGGGGAAACCCCAAAAAGGGCATTCACACAGTGGTCCCGCAGGGAACCACTAAGAGTATATCACCAGGGGTCCGCGGTAACCCATAAAAGTCATATCACCGTGGGTCTGCAGTAAACCCCCTAAGATTTATATCACACAGTGGTCCTGCAGGTAACCCCCTAAGAGTATTCACACATGGGGCCTGAGGTAACCCCCCAAGGCATATCACACGTGGGTCCGCAGGTAACCCACAAAGTCATACACACAGCGGGCCTGCAGGTAACCCACTATGCTCAAGACTAATTCCCCCATTAACTAACAAGTCTGCAAATTATTCAAAACCATAACTAAGGCTTTCCATAATTATATTAACTGGGAAGTGCTAAAAATGTTAGGGGTCATACATTGTATGATAGAAAAATGGTGATACTGACACATGGAAAAGGCACATTTATGTACAGTTCAGGACATTTATTAGAGGAAACACTGCACCCTGAGTGGCTTCTTCAATCGTAATACACTGAAGATTATAATCAAAACTAAGCAGTAAACCCACAAGGATAATAAAAGCACTGAACAGACCGAGATAAGCAACTTGTGATGAAATATTTCCTTTAATAAGTGTCTTTTTCCAGTGTGTGGTAGGTAATGAGGTTTGATACAAGGGGAAAGGAGCTCCAGTTCTCTGGATCAAGAGCCCTTCAGCAGCATGTACTCGAGTTGTGAGAGTACAAGATTTTTTTTTTTTTTTTTTTTTATTTTTATTTATAATTTGAGCACACTTACAGAGGTACAAAAAAAAATACAGATAAGAGCAGCATGCCAAAGCCACTTATACTATGCATAGCATTACGGGCTGGCTTAAAATTAACTTAAGATTAACTAAGCAATGATGAAATCAGTGAAAAACATTAATGTAAACTGAATTACTATAAAGCACAAGTGAGTATTACAAAGACAGGTCATATGGTTGCATGCATTGTTTGTAAATTCAGTAGAATGGAGTATTCTGTTAGGTAGTGAATTTAAAAAATAATAAAGTTAGATTGGGTTTTAGGTTTAACATTTATGTGATATAATTGTGAGAAACATTTAGATATACAATTTATAAGGTTCAGTTATTCAGTATTTATTTGGTTTTGGGTGAGTAAGTGATCTTTGAGAAGAGACTTGAATTTATAAACAGGTAGTGTTTCTTTTATATTAACAGGTAATGAATTCCAGATTTTAGGGCCTTTTATGTGCATTGAGTTTTTGCATAGCGTGAGATGGACACGAGGAATATCAAGAGTGATCTGTGCCTTGTGTTATGGTCATGTGTTCTGTTGAGGTTGGCAAGGAGATGTTTGAGGGGAGGTTAATATCAGAGTTGAGTGTTCTATGTATGTAATAGGTGCAGTAATAAGTATGGATGTTTTGTATGGTGAGTAGGTTGAGTGTATTGAATATTGGTGGAGTGTGCTGCTGTAGTGAGAAATTTGTTATCATTCTAACTGCAGCCTTTTGTTGGTAATTAGTGGTCTGAGATGGTTACTTGTTGTTGAGCCCCATGCACAAATTCCATAGGTGAGATAGGGGTAAATAAGAGAGTGATATAGGGCAGGAGGGCTGACTGTGGAGCATAGTACCGTATCTTCGATAGTATGCCTACAGTCTTGGAAATTTTCTTAGAAATTTGTTGTATATGTGTATGAAATTTGAGTCTATTATCAAGGTGGATTCCTAAGAATTTTCCCTCTGTTTAGCTTTGTGATAGGTGATCCGTTTATCATTATGTTAAGAGGGACATCTGTAGCTCTGTTACCAAACTGAATGAAGTAGGTTTTGTCAATGTTTAGTGTAAGTTTGTTAGTACTCATCCAGGTAGATATTTTCTGTAATTCGGTATTTACAGTATTGGCTAGCTTGACTGGGCTCGGGTGGGAGAAGAACGTATGTTGTGTCATCAGCAAATAGTGTGGGTTTGAGTAATTGAGAAGCATTTGGTAGGTCATTTATGTATAGGAGAAAGAGAAGAGGCCAAGGACACTTCCCTGTGGGACACCAACTGTAATTGGTTGTGCAGAAGAGTTTGCCCCTTTGCGTACACATATTGGCTTCTGTTGCTGAGGTATGACTTGAGGTAGTTGAGGGAGTGCCCTCTTATACCATAGTGTGATAATTTTACGTGGAGCAAGTCATGGTCACTGTATCAAAAGCTTTACGTAAGTCAATGAAGATCCCCAGTGGGACTTCTTTTTTCTCTATTGCAGTGTATATATGTTCTAGCATGTGTATAATAGCATCATTAGTATTTTTATTAGGCCTGAATCCAAATTGGCAGGGGTTGAGTATGTTTTGGGAGATAAGGTAGGAGATAGATTTCGTTTATGAATTAATTTTTCGAAGATTTTTGAGAGAGGGTGTAAGTTGGATATTGGCCTATAGTTATTCAACTCTGTTTGGTCTCCTCCTTTGTGGATCGGGGTGACCCTTTGCTATTTTGAGTACTGTAGGGAAGGTGGAGGATTCAATGGATTTGTTAAAGAGTGTTGCAATGATTGGTGATAGCACTTGTGACACTTTTTTGTATATAAAGGGTGGTAAGGTATTTAAATCTCCTGTCTTGTTTTTTAGTGCGTTGATAATAAGGAGACTTCGTATGGGTTAGTCGGAGCTAGGAACAGTGTGTTCGGGTAGTTGCCGGTGAGGTAGTCATTTGGTGGGGTATCTGAGCTTGGATTTTATTGGCAAGGTTTTGTCCTATAGTGGAGAGAAATCATTGAGTCTGTTTGCTGTTTCTGTGGTGGGAGTTGGGGTTCATCTGATTTTGCTAATTTATTCGCTATTTCGTGATATCTTTTTTTGTTCCCAGAATTTCTGATAGGGTTTTCCAGGTCTTTTTTTATCACCTCGTAAGTTGGATAATCTGTTCTCATAATACAATTTTTTTGCCCTTCTTATCAGGCTGGTTAGGATTGACGAGTAACGTTTTGTTTGGTCTCTGGTTATGTGACCCATTCTGTACTGTTTTTCATATTGGTGTTTTGTATTTATGGATTTGAGAATGCTGGGTGTTAGCCAGGGACTGTTCAGTCTCTTAGCTGTCATCTGCTTAGTTTTTTTAGGGCAGTGCTTGTTATAGAGGTATTGAGTCTTTTTTAGAAAATTATTAATACATTCGTCAATATCTGTATTGATTTCTAGCTCAGTGGCCAATCAATGTTTGCTATGCTGTTGTGAAGTTATTAATGGCTGCCTCATTGTGAAGTCTGAAGGTGACTTTAGTAGTGTCTTGGGGTAATTTACCAAGAGTTGTTATGAGGAAAGTAGGGTAGTGGTCTGTGGTATTATCTGTAATTATGCCTGATTTTAAAGGGATATGGTGTTGGTCCAGATGTGGTCAAGTAGGGAAACACTAGTCTCTGTAACTCTTGTAGGTTTTGTTACTGTTGGTAGCAACATACAGTTACTCATTGTGTTTGTGAATTCAGTAACGTGTGGGTCCTGGTCTTGCAGGAGATTTATATTGAAGTCACCTGAGAGTAGTAAGTGATCTTTGTTCATGCGTGCATCAGTTATCATACTTCCTAGGTTTGACTAAATTGGCTAATGTTTGACTGTGGAACTCTGTAGATGTTTATCAATGTGAGAGGTTTTTGTAGGTATTTGGATTTGAATTTGGCTATTATATATTCCCCATGTTCATCTCTTGTGCAAGTATTAGTGATACATTCTAGTTGGTCTGAGTAGTATATGGCTGTGCCACCCCCTTGTTGGTCTGGCCTACAGTTGTGTATGGCTGTGTAACCAGGAATGGTATAGACATCTGTAGTATCAGGCTTTAGCCAGGTTTCAGTTAGTGTAATGATGGACATATTGGCATGTAAGGAATTTAGTAATGCTATGAGGTCATCGTAATGCTTGCTTAAAGATCTGATATTGTAGTTAAAGATAGTTATGTTGTTGTTGGCACTGAGAAGTGCCTTTGATGGTGTTAAAGTGAGTGTTATATAATTACCTGGAGCGAGGACCATCTTTGGCTTCAGTGTGCAACTTGTGTGTCTCATTAGTGGCAGTGGCAGAGAGCGGCGAGGGTGCCGGAGAGGGTAGAGACGAGGCTCCTGGGGGCCGCCCACCACAACTCGTGGTTGCTGCTCTCCCTTTGTCTTTGTGGTGGTTGTGGTGGTGGTGATGGTGTTGCTGGGGCGGCTGGTCATCGTCCGAGTCCTGTAGGGAGGTGCTGGGTCAACGCATAAGAAGAGAAGTTAGTTGTCTGGCTCAGACACCTACACTAATGTGAACAAATAGAACAAACAACTTCCACTAACACATAACACTTACACTCTGCATTCCAAACAATAACTATGATACTAAAAAAAAGTATCTTTATAATTTAATCAAATTATCAATTAAAATTGAATAGCCATCAGTCAGAATTTAAGATTTTACATAAATAATAAAAGTAACATTAAGGAGCAAAGTATAATCTTATGTGTTATGGAAGCTATACTTAATATCTAGTTTACCTATGATAACTGTGTATATCTGTGTATACATGTTGACAAGTACATATATGCATACATAATAGAATGTAGTATGTGCATGTGTTCATTTTAGTACATGGATATGTGTGAATGCATTGTTTATGAGTACGTGTGTTGATGTATTCATGTTAGCATGTGTGCTTGTATTGTGAGAGCATGTACTCGCCTAATTGTACTCACCTAATTGTGGTTGCAGGGGTCGAGACTCAGCTCCTGGCCCCGCCTCTTCACTGATCGCTACTAGGTCCTCTCTCTGCTTCCTGAGCTTTGTCATACCTCATCTTAAAGCTATGTATGGTTCCTGCCTCCACTACATCACTTGCTAGGCTATTCCACTTCCTGACAATTCTGTGACTGAAGAAGTACTTCCTAACATCCCTGTGACTCGTCTGAGTCTTCAGCTTCCAATTGTGACCCCTTGTTTCTGTGTCCCTTCTCGGGAACATCCTGTCTCTGACCACCTTGTCTATTCCACACGTTATTTTGTATGTTGTTATCATGTCTCCCCTGACCCTCCTGTCCTCCAGTGTTGGCAGTCCGATTTCCCACCTTTCTTCGTAGGACATTCCCCTGAGCTCCAGAACTAGCATTGTTGCAACCCTTTGTACTTTCTCTAATTTCTTGACGTGCTTGACTAGGTGTGGGTTCCAAACTGGTGTTGCATACTCCAGTATGGGCCTGACGTACACAGTGTACAGTGTCTTGAGCAATTCCTTACTAAGGTATCGGAACGCTATTCTCAGGTTTGCCAGGCGCCCACATGCTGCAGCAGTTATCTGGTTCATGTGTGCCTCTGGAGACGTGCTTGGTGTTATGGTCACCCCAAGATCTTTCTCCTTGAGTGAGGTTTGCAGCCTTTGTCCACCTAGCCTATACTCTGTCTGTGGTCTTCTTTGCCCTTCCCCAATCTTCATGACTTTGCACTTGGAAGGGTTGAATTCGAGAAGCCAGTTACTGGACCACATGTACAGCCTGTCCAGGTCTCTTTTAGTCCTGCCTGATCCTCATCCAATTTAATCCTTCTCATTAGCTTCACATCATTTGCGAACAGGGACACTTCAGAGTCTATCCCTTCCACTATGTCATTCACATATATCAAAAATAGCACTGGTCCTAGGGCTGGCCCCTGTAGGACCCCGCTCGTCACAGGCGCCCACTGTGATACCTCATCACGTACCATGACCTGTTGTTGCCTCCCAGTCAGGTATTCTCTGATCCACTGCAGTGCCCTTCCTGTTATACACACCTGTTCCTCCAGCTTCTGCACTAACCTGTGAGGAACTGTGTTGAAGGCCTTCCTGTACTCCAGGAAAATGCAATCAACCCACCCCTCTCTCTCGTGTCTTGCTTCTGTTACCTTGCCATAAAACTCCAGAAGGTTTGTGACAGAGGATTTGCCTTCCATGAATCCGTGCTGGATGTTGTTTATAATCTTGTTTCGTTCCAGGTGCGCCACTACTCTCCTCCTGATAATCTTCTCCATGACTTTAACACTATACACATCAGACACACAGGTCTGTAGTTCAGTGCCTCGTTTCTGTCTCCTTTCTTAAAAATGGGGGCTACAATTGCCGTTGCCGTCTTCCATACCTCAGGTAGTTGCCCAGTTTCAAGGGATGTGTTGAAGATTGTGGTTAGTGGCACACACAGCATCTCTGCTCCTTCTCTAAGGACCCACGGGAAGATGTTGCCCGGACCCCTCGCCTTTGAGGTATCGAGGTCACTTAGCAGCTTCTGCACCTCCTCCTCTGTTGTTTGTATGTCATCCAGCACCTGTTGGTATATTCCCTGTTGGTGTTACCCTCTGTGCTGTCTTCTTGGAGCCATTCCTGTCTCTACTGTAAATACTTCCTTAAATCTCATGTTAAGCTCCTCGCATACCTCGTGATCGTTACTTGTGAGTTCCCCACCTTCTTTCCCCAGCCTGATCACCTGGTCTTTGACTGTTGTCTTCCTCCTGATGTGGCTGTACTGCAGTTTTGGGTCAGACTTGACTTTAGATGCTATGTTATTTTCATACTGTTGCTGGGCCTCCCTCCTTACTTGTGCATACTTGTTCCTGGCTCTTCGACTAATCTCCTTATTTTCCTGTGTTCTTCGCCTTCTGTACTTTTTTCATTCTCTATTGCACTTGGTTTTTGCCTCCTTACACCACTGGGTAAACCAAGGACTCATTCTGGTCTTCCCATTATTTCTGTTGCCTTGGGAACAAACCTTTCCTCTGCCTCCTTTGTTACATATTCTATCATTTCATTTACCGACTTTCCTACCAGTTCTCTGTCCCATTGAACCTCTTGCAGCAAGTTCCTCAACCTATGTAGTCCCCCCGTTTATAGTCTGGCTTTTCCCATTCAACTCCTGTTACCCTCTCCACTTGTAACTCTACTATGTATTCAAAGCACAGAACCATGTGGTCACTAGCTCCTAGGGGCCTCTCATATGTGATGTCCTCAATGTCTGAACTGCTCAGGGTGAACACAAGGTCCAGTCTTGCTGGTTCATCCTCCCCCCCCCCTCTCTTTCTATCTCTCTGGTAGTATCTTTAACATGTTGATGTATGAGGTTCTCCACTACCACATCCATCATCTTGTTTCTCCATGTTTCGGGACCCCCGTGTGGCTCCAGGTTTTCCCAATCGATCTCCCTGTGACTGAAATTGCCTATAACCAGTAACTTTGCTCTGCTCGAGTGAGCTCTTCTTGCCACCTCAGCCAGTGTGTCCACCATTGCTCTGTTACTCTCTTCATATTCCTCTCTTGGCCTCCAGCAGCTCTGTGGTGGATTGTACATCACTGCAATGACTACCTTGTGTTCCCCAGACTGAAGTGTACCTACTATGTATTCTCTTTCTCTAATCTCGTCCATGCCTCCCATTTCCTCAAATTTCCATTGGTGTTTTACGAGCAGTGCAACCCCTCCTCCCCCTCTGCTGCTTCTGTCTTTCCTCAGGATCTGATATCCTGGGGGGAGGATTGCATCTGTTACTGTCTCAATGAGTTTTGTTTCTGTGACTGCTATGATGTCTGGGGACTTCTCATTGATTCTTTCATGCCACCTTTCATATTTGTTCGTTATTCCATCCACATTCGTGTACCAAACCTTCGACTTGTTCCAAAACTGTGGTCCTGGGAGGATATTGGGGTTGGGAGAGCAGGAGCCCTGGCAGGGGCCTTTGGGGGGGTTGTGGTGGGGCAGAGTTCCCATAGGGGGTTGCTGTAGGGTTGGGGTTTGTGGTGTGGGGGTGGGGACAGAGGGATCAGTGTGTGATTGTTGGCTTAGATTGTTCAGTTGCCTTGGGGTTGTTGTGTGTTCCTGTTTGTGTTCGTGTGAGCATGTGTGTTCATGAGTGTGTATGTGTGTGCATTCGTGTTCACGAGTGCACGCGAGTCCAAGTGGGTATTGAATGTTCTTAAATGTTCATACAAGCCATTTACCATCAGCACCTCCATCCAGTTTGCATGATTATTTACTGGGATTGAACTCTATAGCTACTTGTTTGATCACCTCTGTAGAGATCTCCCTCAAGTTTATTATTCCTTCCTCTTCACATTCATCATCTCAATTTTAAATAATCTGCTAAAGGACCAAACAGAACTCAATCCCTCTGGTTTGTTGTTCACATATATTAAAAACAGTAATAGTCTCGGTATTTACACTTGCAGAACTCCATTTGTTACTCTCCCATTCTGTTTCATCCCTTACTGTTATTCTGCTTTATATCATTGAGGTACTTCCTGAGAACTCTTCGTGTTCCTCTACATTCTGAATTTATCTCTGGTGTGGTACAGCATTAAATATCATCTCTGGTGTGGTACAGCATTAAATATCATCTCTGGTGTGGTACAGCATTAAATATCATCTCTGGTGTGGTACAGTATTTTCAATCCATAATTCTGTACTGATTTCCTGTAAAGACTTGTTTCTCGGTTTTTCCCCATTTTACCTTCTCCAAAAACCTTTTGGAGTTCATGTTATTGTGACCATATTCTGTCTTTTGGGTTGTTTCCCCCAATCTTTTCAATTTTCTGATAACAAAAAGGGGAGTGTAATTTTAAGTGAGGTTTTGGGTTTTTCTTTAATTTTGGAATTGTTAAAGGGTTTTAAAGATTGGGAGAGGTTTTAGAAGAGAGAGAGAGAGAGGGGGGGAAAGAGAGGAGGGGGGGGAAGGAGAAGAGAGGAGAGAGAGAGAGGGGAGATGAGAGAGAGGAAAAGAGAGATAGAGAGAAAAAAGAAAATAAGGGATAAAGAGATAAAAAGGAGGATAGGGAGATAAGGGGGTAGAGAGAAAGAGAAAAAAGGAAAAGAGGAGATTAGAGAAAAAGAGAGTTTAAATAGAGAGAGAGATTTAGAGATAATAAGGAGAAATATAAAAATATAAGGAGATAATAGGGGAATAATATAAAATATATTAGAAAAGAACAGAAGAAAAAGGGGGGGGGAAAATAGAGATTAGAGAGAGAAAATAGGGGGGAGAAAGAGAGAGAAAAAAAAAAATAAAATTTAATAAAAAGGAGAGAGATAGAGAATAGAGAGAGAGAATAAGAAAGAGAGAGAAAAAATAGAAAAAAATAAAAAAAAAAAAAAAAAATAAATAATAGAGAGAGGAAGAAGAGAGAGAGAGAGGAAAAGGGAGAGAGAGGAGGAGAAGAAGAAAAAAAAAGGAGATAGAAAAGAGATAGAGAG